CCGCCTTCCCTGTGGCTCAAGGCCTTGGCTGCAGCTCAGGGCTTTCCTGGTTGGAAGGGGGCCTGAGGAGACCCTTTCCTGCCTTGTTGATCCCTAGGCCTGTGGTTAGGGAGATCGCTCGGAGAGGGCAGTCGTGGGGCTCTCCTCCCGCAGCTGCCCTGCGTGTGCCATTGGAGCTTCCCTGGAGAGTGTAGCACTTTGAGGGTAGGGACTTTTTCCTTTTGTCTCTGTATCCCTGGCACTTGAAACAGGGCCTGGCACATAGTAGGGGCTTAATAAATGCTTGGAGCAGCTAGGTGGCGCCAGGCCTGAAGTCAGGAAGACTCATCTCTCTGAGTTCAAATCTGGCCTCAGATAATGACCAGCTGTGTGACCCTGGGCAAGTCATTCTACTCTTTTTGCTTCAGTTTCCTCATCTGTAAAATGAGCTGGAGAAGGAAATGGCAAACCCCTCCAGTACCTTAGCCAAGAGAACCCCAAATGGGGTCACAAGGAGTCGGACACAACTCACCCACAATAAATGTTTGCTGAATTGGTCTGGATAGAAAAGGCAAGGCCTGTTCATGCAGGGCACCTCTCATTGGGCCTGGAGGGGAAATACCTTCTGCTGTCCTTGTCAGAGAAAGCATCCTGGGCTGCAGGGGCTCAGCTGTTGGCGAAGCACATAGTAGGCATTCAGAAAGCAGTTAGTGACTTAAGACACACTGGCAGGAAACTGAGGCTAGAGAGATATGTCCTTCCCCAATCCCCTAGTCACATTCCCTTATTCCTTCTGTGGGTGTGGCACCTGAGGCCCAGACAGTTGAAGTGGTTGTGTCCAGCAACAAATTCAAATCCAGGTTCTACAGCTCCATGAGGCCAGGGATGCTTTGCGTTTTGTCTTCTGTTCCCCAGCACTGGGGCAGGGGCAGGGGCAGGGCCTCGCAGCATCTTTGCCTTCCCCCGGGAGGCTGGTATGTCGTTCCTCCGCTGTGGAAGGCCTCCTCGCCAGTATCTGCAGCAGATGAAGGCAGCTCGCATCTGGCACAGCCTCTCAGCTTCATTTACTCTGTGTGTTGGGGCTTTTTTCCCTCTGGCCTTATTTATTTGCTTTTCCAGTAACTGCCTGACCCCAGACAAAAGACAAGAGCAGGCCTTTTCCGAGAAATTAGATCAACGTTCTCAGGTGGCCTATTTCACACTCTCACACTCAGCAGAAGCCTGGCTGGCGCTTGACACGGGTGGTGGGGTGCAGGTGGGCCTCAGGAGTGCGATGTGCTTGGGGAGAGGGCCAGAGACGCCAGCAGTGCCTACTTCTTGTCCCCCAACGGGTTCATTTCAGGCGGATGTTCTGGGTTGGGGCTAATCGGCATGCCATCTGTCCCGTGCCTTCTTCTTGCCTGGAGACTTTTTCTCCATTCCCGAGGCAACTCTGAGGGATGTGGGCTGGGGAGGGAGGGAGAGAAGAGGAAAACAGAAGAGTCTTGGAGGGCAAAGCTCCGGTCAGGCTTGGTCGGTGGTGACTCTGCCGCTGGTTGTCCGATTTGGGGAGCCTAGTGGAGCGGCATGAGCGATGGGCAGAAAGACAGGAGGCTGGGCTTCCTGACCCTGTTTTGGCCCTGACTGGCCATGGGGCTTGGGGCAGGGGCTCCATTCTTCATCAGTACAATGTGGAGAAGCAGTCCGGTGTTCCCTGCTTCCCAAGGCATGATGGGGGGATCAGAGAGGGCTTATCAGTCAGTCGCTGCATGTGGAGTCTTTGCAAGGTCAGAAGCTTCCGTTCCACTGGGGACGCGTGCATGCATGGGGGGTGGGCACGTGGCGGGACGGCATCGAGGCTGACCGACTCTAGATGTCTTCTTGACGGTGATAGTGAATCACAGGAGCCCCCTTTCCTCTTGAGCTTTAGGGTTTACCAAATGCTTCATCGAACATCCTGGTTTTGGTAGAATTTGAAGCCAGGTCTTCCCAACCCCCAGTCCAGCACCCTGCCCAACAGAACGCTCCTCCCAAAGGAGCTAATGCGTTGGCGATGCGCCATGTTTGTAAACTACTCTCTGAATCTGAGGGGTGAGAGTACAGTGTTAAAATGTCAGGGCTTAGGTTGTGCTGGCATTGAACTAGGCAGCCTCACCATGCCTCATGGGCACAGACCATACCAGCCATCTCACTGGGCCCTCAATTGTGGGAGAAGGTAGATGACGACATGGGGGGAGTCAGCCCCCACTGACTTGTGGGTAAGGAGAGTCCTGTGGCTCTCAGCCTCCCCTGGGGTGCCCTGCTCCTCGGGCACCACCTGGAGAAAGGAGAGAGCTTCCCAGCCAGAAGCCTCCGGCCCTGGCTCCAGCTCTGGCCTCCTCCGCACCTCCTGCAGAGGCCATGCTGCTCTGGCTCAGGCGCTGCCTGCCTACCCTTGGGAGCCTCTGTGGCCCCCTCCCCACTCCTTAGCATTTCACCTTTGTTCCCAGAAATGGCTTTCCTGCTTCCCACAGCTGTCACCTCCTTTGCTGAGAGCCACAACCTGCTGGAAAGCAGCCAGAGCCCTTGTGGGGAGAGGATACCCCACTGCCTGCCACCGAGCAGAGGCCCTGTGTTAGATCCTGGGGGCAGGTCAGAGCATTCGTGATTTTACTGTATTTCGTGTCTTACTATCAGACGTGAGAAGTCCTCCAGGCCAGCCCCTTTATTTGCTTGGGAAGGAAACTGAGGCCCAGAGAGGGGAAGTGTTCTTTCCACTACGCCCCAGGGCCCTCTGTGTAGGATGCCAGGCAGATCCTTCCAAAGGCCAGGCCTGTTAGAGTTTGGGGAATGGCTGCTAGGCAGGAGAGCTCAGGTTTCAGAATTTCTCAACTGGGCTGGCGTCCAGGAAGAGTGTGTATGTTTCATTTCTGAACTGGAAAGAGCAGATCCACCTACCCAGAGTGCATTGCCAGGCTAGGGTGGCAGAAACTCTCTGGGGTCTGTAGAACAAACAAGGTTAGGAGTCTCTCTTAGTGTCATAGGGAGACAGAGCTGTCTGAACCATCCTGGGGGGAAGGAAGTGTGCCAATCAGGGGAGCCAAACCATTTCTCAGAGGTTGCGTGGGTCTTTCAGGGGGTATGGAGAGGTCTTGAGGTCTGGGGGAACCCCAAATACAGATGGAATGACGTTCCTTGCTGCTCCCAACCCCGACCCTGACAGGTTCCTGGCAAAGGCAGAATCCTGTTCTCATCTGGGGGGGGGGTGCATGGGGTAGCATGCCACTGTTGGGCTCCTCTGAAAGTCCTTAGGGCAGGAGAATGGGGGTGTCCGGCCCTGACAGAGATCTCCCTAATCCCCTCACCCCAGAGTCCCTGAGCAAATGGGAGAAACATGATGCCCAGAATGTTTCCAGCCTCTGGGGCTAATCACTGCCCCTGATGGGCCCTCCCTTGGCTCCTGGCTGGCGGGCCTGACAGGCTGTCCTCAAGCGAACTGGGAAAATGCCCTTTGCTTGGCCTGGATAATGTAACGGCTTGTGATAACTCCATTGCTTCCTGCTCCCTAAGCCCTGGAAGAGGGTGTGTGTGTGTGTGTGTGTACGCACTCGAGTGCACGTGTGTTTGGAGGTGATGGGTGGGGGAAGAGGCTGAAGTAAGGGGACAGTTGGGACAGCATTTGCCCCAGCACCCTGGTGGACCCCGTTCTGAGCTCATGGCCATAGGAGAGATAGAAGGTGGGAGGTGTTTTCTCCCCCACTCTTGGACTTTGAGAAGAAGCTGTTGGCGTCAGCAGGCCTGTGCATTTGTCAGCTGCTGTTTGAGGAGGGGTGAGAGAAGAAAGGGACCTTGGCTTCTATCTTGAGCCCCTGGCATGGGTCCCCGGGTCCTGGCCTTTCAGGGGTCCAGGGCGCAGCCTCTCCCAGAACAGCTCTGGGCAGGTGTGGGGAAGGCAGCTGGCCCTGACTTGCTTTCTCCCTTCCATCCCTGCAGTCCCTCCAGAAGCCTGCTTGCTGCATACACAGGAACTGCTAAAGGCCAGTCATTTGTGCAGTTGCGTTGGCATCTCCCAACGTGTTCAGGGTGGGGGGGCATGCTGTTGGAGCCCTGGGTGCCCGTGAGCCCCTAGTCCAGGCCCAGGGCAGAGGGCAGGGAGGGTGTTGGGGATCACACGGCCAAAGCTTCTTGCTCCAGGGGATGGATGAGGCCTTGGTGGGGGCAGCTGAGGGGGTCCCCCACACCAGCCTCTCAGAGGCCTTCTTCAGAGAGCTCTGCCTGTGTTGGGACTGCCTCGGGCTGTCTGATTCACCCACTTACCTCAGCCTGTTGGCATGTGAGTGACGTGGGAGTCTAGGCCCTCTTGGGGGCCGGCCTTCTGCCGGCCACCTTGAGATCCTTCTTTTAGAGAAGCCAGGGGATGCGTCTCTCCCTGCCCCCAGCCCCTTGTCAGACCAGGGATTCTCCCAGGGCCTGGGCTGTTTGTTGTCTTCCCATTCAGGCTGATTTTGGCTCCCCTCATCTACCTGGGGGCTCCCCAAAGAACCCCATTTAGATTTGTTTTCATCCTGTCCCCACAGTGCTTCTTGGTATTCCCCTCTCGGGGGCTTAGCTGTGTGGGTCTGAGTCACCTACATTTGCCCCTGCACTCACTGCTGAGGGGCCAGCCTCCTGGGGAAGTGACTGAGCTTGGCTTCGGGATGAGAGCTGGCCATCACTGGCACTGAATTACACGGGTGGGGGCGGGAAGGTTGCCTAAATTTTCTTCCAGGAACTTCCAGGCAGCTCTTGACTTCCCTGTAACCCAAGAACATGGGGGACATATTTGAATCTTGGACCTAATCCAGATGAGCTTTGTGTTGGGGGGGCATGGAGAAAGGGTGTATGTATGTGTGTGTGTTTGTAGTATGTGGGGTGTGGGCGTGGGTGTGGTATGGGGGTGTGTGTGTGTGTGTGTGTGTGTATGTGTGTGTGTGTGAAAACCGAGAGCGTGACCTGGGTGGGCAGAGGGAGGCTCCCATGGGAATAGCCGGGCATCAGGTGGAAACGTACCCCTCTCTCCACAGCAGACTGCGCTCCTTCCGCGGCTCCCAAGGCACGCTCTCACCTGACCCATCCCTGGCGAGGCGGCGGTGGCAAGGCCGGGCACCACCATGAACGAGGTGTCCGTTGTCAAAGAAGGCTGGCTCCACAAGAGAGGTGAGGAGGGGCCTGGGGGGCAGCGGGGCCCACGGACCTGGATGGGATCTCTCCCAAAACACAAGGGCTGGACTGAGCTTCAGACCCAGAGTCAGGCCCGGGTTCAGTCCCCGCTGTGTGACCCTGGACAAGTCTCTGAATCTTCTCTGGAGAATGAGCTGTTGGAGTCAGTGATCTTTGAGGGGTCCCCTCTGCTCTAGCTGTGATTGCCAGGTCCTTCCATGTGGTACCACAGTCAGAGCTGACAGCTGGAGAGCGTTGAAAGGCAGGCGTGGTGGCTGCCATCTTACCTGGTCCTCCCAGCGCCCCTGAGCACCTGACGGGGCTAGTCACCTTTCTGGACCTCAGTTTCCTTGTGTGCAAAATGGAGATGCTACGTGTCCTGGCTCCTTCCCAGGACCATTGTGGAGAAAGGCCTATGCAAACGTTAGGGCACCAGAGAAACGTTGTTGGGAGGTGTTGCTGTTACCCCGCTTGTGCTGGATGGACACAGCTGGCATTGGCTTCCCTGTGCCTGTGCAGAGCCATGCTGCTGGTCTGGGAGCCCCTGGGAGCTGCAGCTGCCCTCGTCGGGGGGAGGAGGGTGACAGCAGCAGCAGGACCTGTGTCTTCTGCACATCAGTCACATGGATGTCCTTTCCTTGGGTGGGGAGCCACTGGGGAATGAGCTGGCCAGCTGGGCCCCGGGGCACACGGGGAGGCTGTAGCAGTGGCGTTGGGGGGCCAGGGCCTGGGAAGGCTCTTTATTCACTCAGTGACATTCCCTGAGTAGCTGCTGCTTTTGCGTTTCATCCTGAGTCGTTGGTGCAAGCCAAAGCTGGCGGGCCTGTCTCTCTTGGGTGCTGAGGGGGCCAGTGAGATCCCCAGGCTGATGCAGGGTGGTGAGGGGGTCCCATGGAGATCAGGGCTGTCCTTAGAGCAGCCAAGAGGGCCCCAGTCCTCAGGGGTCACCTCCAGGGTGTCTGTCCTCAGCTTTTACCTGGAGCCTCCCATACCTGCTTCCTTGGCCCTATCCTTGGCTTTCCCTCTCCCCAGAGGCCAGGCTTCTCACAGATGCCACCTTCTCCAGGCACCAGGAGAGCGGCAGCTGGCGTGGGGGGAGCCGGTGATTGAGTGCCATTTGGGCAGAGCTTCTGGGGCCTGGGCCAGCTTTTCTCCCACCTTCCCAGCAGGGACCTCCAGGTCCCTCTAGCATTTCAGCTCCCACTGAACCTCCTGGTTTTTCACCAGGAAAAAAGCCTGTCCCCCCCAAGGCCAGGCTGGCATCATTGCTTCACAGCAGATTTCTTTGGAGGGAAAGGGACTCTGCCCAGGTCCACAACATAGCTCTGGCCTATCCCCATGAGAGCAATAGCCATGGACCAGGAGCAGTTTCTGTCTGAGCAGCTAGAGGAGATGGGGTGGGGGGAAGGAGAGCCCCCAATTGGGGTTGTTGCCTCGGGGGTATTGCAGCTAGGGAGCAGCACGTCATGCTGTGACCTCTGCCACACTTGGGTCCTGCCCAGTGCCTTGCCCTGCGTCAACCAGAGGCCCCTTCCCCCTGTCTCCTCCCAGACCTGACGCCGCCATAGGGTTTCTCTCCAAGAAGCAGGCGTGTTCTCTTGCCCTCTCTCCTCCTTCTGTCCTCCCCCCCCCCCCCTCCCCCCCCTTGATTCTCCCTCTCCCCCTTCCCGTCTCCTCTTCTTTCTATGCTGCCCCTTCCCCCAGTCTCCCTTCTAGTCTCTGTTGTTGCTGGCTCTGATGAGTCACTCCCCAAGCATCTGCAGCCTGGAATGTAACTGAGCTCCAAAGGGAGACAGGATCTGCCTGTCTCTCATCGCCCAGCTCCAATAGGCCCACCCCCTGGGCCCTGGGCTGGCTGCACTTCAGTGGACCCCAAGTCAGCCCCCAGGCCCTCTCCTGGGATTAGCTTGGGAACATCGGGGCCTGCTTTGCTCAGACCTCTCTTCTCTTTTCAGGTGAATACATCAAGACCTGGAGACCTCGTTACTTCCTGTTAAAAAGTGATGGTTCATTCATTGGCTACAAAGAGAGGCCAGAGGTTCCTGACCAGAGTTTGCCCCCTTTAAATAACTTTTCTGTAGCAGGTTGGTTGAATGAAGTTTTGAAGGGGGTTGGATTAAAATACCCCCTACCTTGAGTGTTGGGCCTCCTGAAAGCATAGATCCCTTTTTCCAGGCCTGAGGCCAGGGGCCCATCTGCCCTTCAGTCAGGGGGTGTCACGAGTTCAGGTTTATTTTACTCTTTACCATGGGCTTTCCCCACAGTGAGACTGAAAGGTGGGTAGTGGGGAGATAGAGGCCCCCCGAAAGGTGGCAGCTTGCCCCCAGCCACACCATCCCTCAGTGGCGGGGCTGTGGCACCCAGGCCAGGGCTGTGCCTGTGTGAAAGAGTCATCCATGGCCACGAGGACCAACCAGGTGCAGCGCAGGCACAGCACGGGGCTAGCCCAAGGCCAGTGGGTTCTTTGTGAGGTAGTAGAAGGCATGGGGCCTGACTCAATTACAGAGGATGATTTTGGGTAATTCCTTTAACCTCACTGGTCATCAGTTTCTTCATCTGTAAAACGAGGCTCTCTAAGGCCCCTTCCAGGGCCAAGTCCAGTTTGGCTGTGAGAAGAGCAGCTAAGACCATAAGAATTTTACTGCTCAGTTCATCCAAGGCCCCTCCTTGTGCAAAGTGTGAAATCTAGGCCTCCGCATGGTTATCCGGGACGTCAATGGCAGATCCGGGCTTTGAGCTCAGGGTTCCTGCCACCCTCCACTGCCTCTCCTCTGGGGCTCCCTTTGTCCCTGCTCTCTGCCTGGCCCTGGGATCCAAAGGCACGAGGCGAGCCAAGTGATTCTCAGGGCACTTCCATTCTCTTGAGCATGTCAGCCAACTGTGAGCAGCGTGCGGGAGGGCCAAAGCTGAGCTAAGAGAAAGTCCTGCGGAGGCCAACTGACTCCCATTGGGAATAGAACCTCATCCAAATGTGTGTACCCAGCAGCAGTGAGATGGGGCCCATGAGGAGCTACCGTGCTTCCGGCCTGGGGGAAATGGGGAGACCTAATGTAAAAAAAAAGCAGAAAGTCATTATGCAGTCATTTCAAGAGGGAGGGCCTGGGGGGAATTGGGAAGAGCCACACGGAGAAGGTGGCACCTGAGCTTGGAAGGAAGCCAGCCCCTGGGGGAAAGGGCTGCCCTGGCCTGTGCTCTGATTGCCCCTCCCTCCCTCCCTCTCCCTTCCCCTCTAGAATGCCAGCTAATGAAAACAGAGCGACCTCGGCCCAACACCTTTGTCATCCGATGCTTGCAATGGACAACGGTTATTGAAAGGACCTTTCACGTGGATTCTCCAGATGAGAGGTGGGTCTTCTCCCCCTGGGCGGGGGAGCCCCAGGGTCCTGTGGGGGCAGCCAGCCCCCCCTACTGGCTGTTTCTCACTTACTTGGCCCCCTTATAATTTTTCCTGGCACTGCCACTATCTCTGTTGATTCCTTGTGATGTGACAGTGGCTTGAAGATAAGGCCTTTTAAATTGGAAACATTAACTGTTACCCCCCTTAGTCCACTTGGAGAAAACTGAGCCAGAGAGATGTTGGAGTGGGTGGGCGGGCTCCAGGAGGTCATCTCTAGTAGGACCAGGGTGTACTTGGGGCCTGGGAACACACCCACAAGAGCTGCCCTTTCTCCAAAGCCCTTTTACCCAACATGGACACTGAGCCTCAGGGGAAGGGAAATGGCTTGTCCAGGGTCACACAGCCAGATCTTCCTGACTCCACATCTAGCATTCTTTTCCTGGGGCTATACTGCCCCTCACAGTGGGTGTTTTCCTGATGCCCTCTCCCTTCCAAGGGGGCTCTTGACTGCTTGGGGCTGGAGCGGGGGGAGAGTTTGGCTCCCTGTTTCAGAGCAGGAAATGAGAGGGCCGGGATTCCAGATGGGGGCAGATGGAGGGAGGCTGGGATTGGAGTCATAGGACCTGGCTTCCCATCCTAGCCCCTCCGCTCCGTACCTTCACTTCCCAGGCCCCCGTGTCCTTCACCAGATAACGTGGGGCTGGAGAGAACCTCAGGCCTCCCAGCTAATCCCTTGCTTCTCTTCTCCCGTGTCTGGTACCTGATGGAGGTAGAGTATTGTGAAGGAAGCGTGGTGGTCTGTGGCAGGATCCCAGGTCTCCTCCTCTTTAGGAAGTAGCTTTGTGACTCTGGGCAAGTGACTTTACCTCTCTGGGCCTCAGCTTCCTCATCTGTAAAATTGAAAGGCAGAGGGGCAAACTAAATGATCCCTCAGGACCTTTCCAAGCTCCTTTCCATCCTCTCAAAGCTTGAAGGAGGTATTTTAGGATGCGTAAAAGAGAGATGGAGACTCAAGTAAGGTGTCAGGGTGTCTCTGGCTTGATCTCACCATTATGTAAGGGAAGTTGGCAGTGTTTGAGGCCCCCTTGTGGCCTTGTGATGTTCTGAAGAGTGACCACACCCCGGAGCCCCTTTCAGAGCTCAGAGCTTGGGCCAGGTGGGTCCCGCCTACCCCAGGGCCCCTTCCTTGGTGGCCCCATCTGCCTCTCCTTGCATCCCTGCCTCTTGTCTCTCTCCTGTCCTAGCCTTCCTTCACCCACTTGCTCAATCAGTAGTCTTATAGCACAGGCCTGACCAGGTCACTCGTCAAGAACCTTCTTCTGGGATCACAGACAAGCTCCTCTTTCCGTCATAGGGTGGCTCCAGTCCGTATGTCTAGACTTCTCTCATGCCACTCCCTCTCACACGTTCCTTTCCTTTTCTTTCCTTTTTTTTAGTGAGGCAGTTGGGGTTAAGTGACTTGCCCAGGGTCACACAGCTAGGAAGTATGATGTGTCTGAGGCCAGATTTAAACTCAGGTCCTCCTGACTCCAGGGCCAATGCTCTATCCACTGCGCCACCTAGCTGCCCCTCATACATATCTTTTCTGACTCAACTGACTGCTTTGTTTTTTCTCATACCTGATGTTCAGTCTCCACAGAGATTGTCTAGGTAAGGTCCTGGGGAAACGGTCGATGTTGTTGTCCCTGTTATCATTGCCATCTCCTCCCTCCACACCTTTGTCCAGGCTGGCCAGCCTCCCTGCCTACGCAGGTCTCTCTCCCCATCTTGGTCTCTCAGAAATGCCCAGCTCCTCCAGGGCTCAGCTCAAGCACCGCCTTTGAGATGAGAGCCAGGCCCTGCCCCCAGCCTTTACATGGGCTTTTCTCCTCGGGGTCCATGTTGATTTCCTGAGCCCCTGAGAGTGTCAGCTCCTTGAATACAGGGCTGTTTCATTTCTGTCTTTGTATTGCCGGTGGCCGGTGTAGTGCCTGGTGCTTGGTAATGATGAGTTGGTCCTTGCTGAACTGAATTCCAAAGCTAGGATCTTGGACTTGGTGGAGGCCAGATCATAGGGTCGCAGATTCTGAGCCAGGAGGAACCTTAGAGGCCATTGATTGAAACCCCCTTGTCTGACAAAGGAGGAAACTGAGGCCCACTCCCTGAGGCGAAGTGAGCTAGGGAGCAGCAGAGATAGGATTTAAACCCAGATCTTCCTGCCACTGAGGCGGCTTCTTAGTTGGAAGCATCGTGTCCAGGCTGCATCCAAATGCCAGACTTCTCTTGATCCCGACCACTCGGCCGTCTTTCGCCACTTTCTCTGCCATGTTCTCTTGGTCCTGCCAGGGAGGGCTTTGGAGAAAACCACAGAGCTTTTCCTGGGGGATTCTGAACCTGTGAGCTCCTGCCCCTGATCCAGTTGGAACTGGGCCTCCAGTGCAGTGCTTTCGACCTGGGCTCTCTCCTTCCTGGGATACATGTCCCTCTGCAGAGCCTTGTGGTTGGAGGAAATACCCTTAAAAACTTCTGCCACTACCTAAAGGCCTGATGGGCAAGCCTGGCCTCCCAGCAGATGGCGGTGAGCTCCCTCGAGAGGCCCGGTGCATGTGCTTCCTCTTGGTCCAGGCTTTAGTGTAGAAAGGAATGAAAGAGGTCATTGTCCATGTCCCTGGTTCAGGTCAGGACTGCACTTATGTCCCTGACTCCAGGAACTGCTGACCCTCTCCCAAGATAGGGAGGCCTCCCCCAACGTTGGCTTTCTCATTTGAAGCCAGAACCCCGCAAAGGCCAGGAATGGTGTCCCACTACATAGGGGATGCCCACACTTCCTTTTCCTTCTTGAGAATATCTGCATTTGCTATCACCCCGAGTGGAGCAGAGTGGCAGCATCTATGTGGCTTGTTGGGATAGAGAGAAACCGTGGGATGAGAAGTCATTGGAGGCTTCTCCATGTACGAGCTGTCGCTGGACTGGGAAGGGGCCTCTTCCCGTCTCTGGGGGCCTGGCAGAGACCAGAGAAAATGAGCCTGTGAGCCTGGAGAAGGGCCTGGAGTTATGAGCTCTGAAGGGCTCCTCTGGTGCTCTTCTTGACCCTGGAGCAGAGGGAGATTGGGATAGAAGCAGGAGGGAATGAACCAACACACGGGCTGCGAGGATTGGGCAAGGGTGGGGAAAGGACTCAGGGAAAGCCTCTGACCTTGACCAGTGGAGTGGAGGGCAAAGGTGGGGGGAGGAGTGTGGGTGAGGAGAGAGCAACTGCCCCCCACAGCCCCCCAAACTGCTGGGGTGTGCTGCCCTGGAGGGCAGAAATCCCAGGATTGCTGTGACATCTGAGCTCCATGTCACTGCCCTCAGAGTGGTTGCGAAATTCATTCGGCCCGCTGGTCAGGGTGCCAGCAATCTGCTCCTTGCCCCATTGTGGCCTGGGCCCCTCCTCGGGCCCAGACATGCCCGTCGGCTCTGTTCGTTTTAATTCAGCAGGCGTTCACGGGGGCTGCAGTATTAGCAAGTCCCGTGTGTCCTTTGTGCCCAGGTGTCACTACAGAAAAAGCAGCATCCTGGAATCCCCAAACCTGACAGCTCCTTTCAGTGGGCTCTCTCCGGTCCTGGCTCTGCCTCCAGTGAAGGCAGAGACTAGATGAGAACATTCACCTTTGGACACAGTAGCAAGGAGCCAGAGGCGCGGAGAAGTGCAAAGGGCCCCAAGAAGGCTAGGCCCCAGTTACAGGACACTTGCGTGCACTCTTAGGGAGGTTACATGGTCACCCATCCCTGAAACACTGAAGGAAAGGGTCAACCGCCCTACGCAGGTGCCCAGAAACAGGGGGTGTAAAGTCAATCCTAGCCTTAAAAGTGATGGCTCTTTCTGTGGTTTCCTTGGCATCAATAGAAGTACTTAAAAGGTTGTGTGACCTCATTCGGGTGGGCTGCAGCCCCACCGTGGCTCACAAGGGGGTCTGCATAAAGTGTTGTGGCCCCCCGTCATTGTCTCCAGGCGGTGAGGCAGGTGGACCTCGGGTGATAAACCTTTGGCCTGTGGCCAGGCCTGGCGCTGTCAGTGTGCTGGGGCCTTCTGAGAACGGGGACCCCCTCTGCACTACCATGACTGTTGTGGAAAGGCAACAGGGACAGAAATTTGAAGTCTCCAGGCAATCTGAGCCAAAAAGCCACACATGGCGGATGAAATAAGGCTGTAGTCTGAGGGTTAATCACTTCCTGGGCCACTCCAGTAAGGTCACACGTAACACGAATCGACATAAAGGTCAGAGCGTTAGCTGGCAGATGGAGCTGCACCTCGGAAAAGGCTGGGGTGGAAGTTGTCAGCTCAGTCTGAATGAATCCTGTGACATGTCTGCCCCCCAGAGGGGCTGCCGTTTTAGGTGTCCTGGAGATGGCTCACATGAGAGGGGCGTCTGGCCCACCGTCCTCTGCCCCCATCAGAGCCTCTCTAGGGCGAGGTTCCACCTGAGCATTGCTGACAAACCGCAGCCTGTCTAGAGGAGGGCACGTTACAAAGTGATTTCAGGAGGGAGAGGCCTGAGAAAGCCCTCCTGTTGGAGGTGGGAGATGGGAGGATTGCATATGGTGGTCAGCCAGCGGGCCAGTTTGACTAGAATGAAGGGGACGTAACATGGAGGCTGGAGGGGCCCCCTCCAAGCCTGGAGGACCTCAGAGGCCCCTCCCTGGGAGCGCCTTCTGGGTCTTCTCTTGGCTGGCTGACGGCCCTGCGGTGGCTTGTGCCTGTCACTTAGGGAGGAGTGGATGAGGGCCATCCAGATGGTGGCCAACAGCCTGAAGAATCAGGAGCCCGTGGAGGACGTGATGGACTACAAGTGTGGCTCCCCCGGTGACTGCTCGGTGGCCGAAGAGATGGAAGTGGCCGTCAGCAAAACCCGGACTAAGGCGGTGAGCGCTTGGGGCGGTGTGGGGGAGGGCAGCCCCTGGCCCGCCTGCAGTCGACTGCTCCAGGGCAGTGCTTCAGGGGCTGAGGCACTCTGGAGCAAGGGAGGGCCAAGATTAACCCCCTGTGGGCCTGCCCCTGGTCACCTCCACCAGGATCCTGGTCAGGGGCCTGGGGGGAGGCCGAGGGGCAGGAGCCGTGCCCTCTGGCAGAAGGCCACTTCAGGGAAAACAGTTAGGATCTGAGCTCCTCTTCCCCCACCCCCCTACCCCGATCTGCTGATAACAACCGAGCGCACCACACAAAACCTCCTCCCCGTCCCCCACAGACCATGAACGACTTTGACTATCTCAAGCTTCTGGGCAAAGGCACCTTTGGCAAAGTCATCCTGGTGCGAGAGAAGGCCACGGGGCGCTACTACGCCATGAAGATCCTGAGGAAGGAGGTCATCATTGCCAAGGTGGGCCGGCACGCTGGCACGCTGCCTGCAGGACAGGGCGCCCCCTCGTGGCTCAGCTGCGGGCCAGCCTGGTTGTCGTTCAGCCGTTTTTCAGTCGTGTCTAGTCTCCGTAACCCCATTTGGGATTTTCTCGGCAGAGACTCTGGAGCGGTCTGCCGTTTCCTTCTCCAGCTCGTTTGACAGATGAGGAAACTGAGGCAGACAGGGTGAGGTGACCTGCCCGGGGTCACACAGCTAGGAAGTGTCTGAGGCCAGATTTGAACTCAGGAAGAGGAGTCTTCCTGACTCCAGGCCCAGCACTCTATCCACAGTGCCACCTGGCTGCCCACTGTAGAGGCAGACATACTGCATGCAGGACAGGGTGCCCCTTTGTGGCTCAGGGTGGGCCAATCTAGAAGTAGACTTGTACCACAGGCTAAAGGAGAGAAAATTGAGTCCCCATGGACTTCAAGGATGGGGCATCCAGACAGATGCAGACAGACAGAAGGACGGGGCCCTCTTGTGGGTCAGAGGGCAGGGGCAGCCGGTCACATGTGTGCCAATGGCACATTAGGTAAGACACAGGTGCCCCCTTGTGGTTCCAAGGGAAGGACAACCCAGCAAGTGTCTTCATGTAGCAAGTCAGAAAGCCCACTCCAAGCAGGGGCCACGGAGAAGGAGACACGTTGGTTGATCAAGAGAAATACTGCTGTCCTCCCAGGGCAATCCCTGCTCCTGGGGAGGCCAAGGGCAGTGGGTGTCTTGGAACTCTGGAGGTCTAAGTGTCAGGGAGTGGCCTCTGCCCTACGGGGGTGGGCTTTGAGGAGCAGGGGGCCGCCGGGCAGCCTGGGAGGGGCAGGCTGGGCCCAGCAGATGAAAGGGAGCAGACAGACACTCCCACGGGTGGCCACTGCCCTGCCACCCAAAATTCCCCCCACGGCCATCCTGGGGGGGTAAGAAGCCCAGATAATGGCCCCCTTTGACAAACCGAGAGAGTGGGCCTCGTGAGCTCCTGGGGCCCCATCTAGTATGTGTTGGCCTGAGGCTGGGCCTGGGTGCAAACAGGATCTAAGTCAATTTGGGCAAGTCACCACGCTGCTCCAGGCAGTCAGACAAGAAGGCTGTGAGAGCCCTGCCGAATTTGAGTATGCCTTGTTACCCGTTAGCTGCTTAAGCATCTGGTGAATACAGGGCTTCTCTGTAATGGGAGCGGGTGACCCTGACTTTTCTTGTCTGGGTAGTACCTGCAGAGGTGGCCTAGACCCTAAGGCCAAGCCATTGATGCATTTCCAATGCCCACCTGTGTGTCTATCTGTCTGTCTCCAGGATGAAGTTGCCCACACAGTCACTGAGAGTCGAGTCCTACAGAATACCAGGCACCCATTTCTCACAGTAAGTAGGTCGGGCCTGTCCATTTCAGGGCAGCCTGATACAAGCCCCCGGGAAGAGGCCCGGTTTTCTGTGTGGCAGCAGTCAGCGCTGGATCCCTGTATGGGACTCACCTCCTAGGCGGATAGGCCAACGAGGCAGCCCTGTTGGTGGTGCTTCAGAGGGCGTCTCTTTTTGTGCTGATGCCGTCTTCAATGTCACTGTCACTTCCCCGTACCCCCCTTGCCCTCCCACCCCCCCGGGGAAGCCAGGAGATGGCCTCGCTCACTGTCACTGGTCGTCCACCGGTCTGCTGAAGCAGGAAGCCTCTCGGAGCACATTTGTCCCATGGACACTGCATGGAAGGAAGGTCCCCGGACTTCAGGTGCTCCCATAGCGCCACCCTTGGTGGCAGCATCTTCTGGTACCTCTCCAGCCCAGGGGCCATGCTTCCTGAGGCAGCCTGTGCGGAGCTGTCTGGAAAAGCCAGAGAGTTTATTGAGCTGACAAAGCAGCGCTTTGGATGGCCAATTCTTTGGGCAAGGCCAGTCAGGATTTTTCCCAGTTATCTTCCTCTCATCGAGATCTCAAAGATCAGCCTTCCAAGTGCCAGAGCCTGCAGCAGAGACTTCTCTGGGTCCAGTCCCCCTGACCTTCTTCTCTCTCCCCCTCCCCCCCTCCCCGTGCTCATGGTCACCTTCCTCCTACTAGAGCAGCCTGTCCACCATGAGGCATACAGAGCTCCATACTTAGGACCTCTGACCTTCCCCCTGCCCCAGTCACCTTCCTCCTGCTAGAGCAGCCTGTCCACCATGAGGCACACAGAGCTCCACACTCAGGACCACTGATCTGTGTGCTCCATTGTATCTAGAGATGCTCTTGCTTGGTTGAGGTTCATTCTAGGGATCCGGGAATGCTTTTCCCTCCACTGCCCCTGGCTGTTTTGTGGGGTGATGTTGCCACAGTCCTCCCAGCATCCTCCCCGGACATTGCACACATGAGTTTGTTTTTGAGCCCAGCTCTGCCTTGTGTTTTCTTCTAGTAAGGAGAGTCAGGGTTTGCTGGCTGAGGTTTGGACCCTTTGGCCTCCTTGTTGTCTCTTGCTGTCCATGTTCGTGGCTCCATGCTGATGGATGGATGTGAATCTTCTCCAGTGGTAGAGATCATAGACCTCCAAGTCTTCTTGCCTGTGTCCTGTCCGTGGTTCGTGCCCTGCAGGCCTCCTTTGAATCTCCACATTCTGGGCAGCCTGGGGCTGGTCACCTGCTATCTCTAGTGCTCTCACCTCCAATGACCTCTTTGATGCCACCTCTAGAGCCTGGGACACCATTGGTGGTGGGCTGCAGTCTGCTTAGGCATCCCCAACCCTCGACTTGTTTCTTCCCTGCCTTTTGGGTTACCTGCAGTTTTGTTTCTTTGGAGATGGTGGCATTCAGTGCTTCACAATCCTAGAGCATCACTAGAAGAATCTTAGTGTTCAGGGTGCAGGCTGGGGATTGCTGAAGGCCCGGCACCTTCTGCCGAGGTCTCTTGGCCAGTTAATCTTCTTCATCTTGTTCACTTTGGAGTCTGTCTCTGGTGGTTGTACAAACTGTGGGTACCAATGGAGGAGGTCAAAGGACCACATCCAATTTTGATGGGTTGCTTTTTCCTGTGTGCACTGTTGTATGGTCTCTGCAGTGACTGTGGGTCTCTGAAGTGGTTCTTTAGTCGTCTGGGGTTTGATGTAGTCAATGCATCTGAACTTTACCACTGATAGAGAATCCCTTGTCCATATGGACTCTGCCCAAGGCCTTCTTCCTGACAAAGGGGTCGTCTTCATTAGGCATGCTTCTCCCTCCTTGGTGTGTCCATTCGCCGTTATCTCTGCTTCTCTAGTACTGAGTGTCCCTGGGCCCGGGGAAGAGCAGGCCCAAGCCTTGGCTCTCGGGGCTGCTTCCAGAGCACGTTTTGGCCGCCAGCACTCATTTGAGATCACCCTAACTGTCAGCCACTCCAGATGTGGGTCACGTTTATTTTCCGGCCTCCAAGTACTTTGGCTTCCCGTCTTCCTCTCCATGCCATTCTTGCCTTCGTACTCCGAGGCTTCCCCATACACAGAGATGTCTCCTCCAACAGCCTGGCCTTCCACTGCATCGAGGGCCCCGATCCCCATGACCCTGTATCCTCAGCCACCAGCAGGGATGGTCACATCTTTTTAAAAAATTGATGCCTTGTTTTATGTCACCTTATTCTCTGGATATATTCTTTCTCCCCTTGAGACAAAGACTAAAAAGGATTGTCTTTAAAACCAATACATCAATCATGTCTAGAAGTACATGCAGTATTCCACACCAGTAATTCTTGTCTGTGGCGAAGGGAAGGCGATGCCAGCGTGGTCTGTAGAAGAACGCGGCCTTGCATTTGCTCTTTGGGCCTCTCCACTTGGGATCGTTAGCCACGTACTTGTTTCCAATCCTTTGCTACCAGAAGTGCTGCTTGAAATAGTCTGGTGTTTGTGGGGCCCTCGTCTCTGTCTTTGACCTCTCTGGAGCATGTGCCGAGCAGGGAGATCTCTGGGTGCAGACACCGTAGTCGCTTTGCTTTCCAGAATGCTGGATGGATTCACAGCTCCACCAGCAATGTATCAGTATATCATCTCATCTTAAATCTCACCATCATTCTCTTTTTTTAAGTACATTTTACTTTTGTCATCACTCTTTACTTGTGTTACCTTCGTGATCTTGAACTCTGAAACTCTTCTAACCTCCTGTTGTTTCATCTCCCTTTCATCTTCACTGAATGCGTGATTTTATGTATGTATATGACTTTATGATATCCTTATTAGATTTGACCTCATGGTCTGGTCCAGAGTGGGCAGACTAGAGACACAGGTAGCAGTCTGACCAGCCCCTGGGCTTTAGGCAAGTGGATTCCAACCTGCAATGTGAAAGCTTTCTCTGTATCCTCTTTGGTTCAGTTGCATTTTTCTTTTTTCTTTTTTTTTCTTTTTGGTGAGGCAGACGGGGTTAAGTGACTTGCCCAGGGTCACACAGCTAGTAAGTGTCAAGTGTCTGAGGCTGGATTTGAACTCAGGTCCTCCTGACTCCAAGGCTAGAGCTCTGTCCACTGTGTCACCTAACTGCCCCCAGTTGCAGTTTTCAAAAGCATATGGACTGTGTCTTTACCCAAGTTACTGACAGGCCAAATGTAGATTCTGAGGCTTCTCAACTTCCGACCTCTCCCCAAGTTCACGTTGAACCATTCCTAATTACTCTGGTCCATCCGACCAGCTCAGTAGCCTCTTAACTGTTATCTCTGTTGTTCAGTCATGTGCGATTCTCCCTGACCCCATCTGGGGTTTTCTTGGCAGAGGTACTGGCGTGGTTTGTCATTTCCTTCTCCAGCTCATTTTATAGATGAGGGAACTGAGGCAAACAGGGTAAAGTGACTTGTCTAGGGCCGCACAAGTGTCCAGGACCAGATTTGAACTTGGGAAGATGAGCTTTCCTGCCTCCAGGCTTGGTGCTCTATCCACTGCGGCGCCCCCTAACGGCTCCTCATTATACCTTCGTGTAGCCATCTCTCCATCTTTTCCACAAGAAGTACGTGGGAGACCAAAACTTCTTTTGAGCACTTTTTTGACAACTGTTTCCATAATTGGTTTCCTTCGTAGCTGCATTCGGATGCCTGATTCCAAGAAGGTTCCGCACAGGTTTCACTGGCCCTGCTACCCCAGGGGTCTCTGACCCTGCTGGAGAAAACTCTGCTTGAGCAGCCCCTGATTGACCCACAGCAGGGCCTGGTCAGAAGGGAAGAGAGATGAGTCTAGTGGGGCCCGTTCTGGTGGCCTGGGCAAGTCCTTCAGTAGGGCCTTCAAGAGTGCCACCCAAAATGGCATTCAGCAGGCGCTGCTCCCTTCTTTTGTCCTGGGTGCTTCGGCTCTTCTCCAGGGTCTTTTGGAGCTCCCTGAAGGTGGGCGGCCTTCATGTCTACCAGGAGAGAGGCTGTCTGGGCCTGGTCACTTCATGTCCTCAAGACCAATGAGGTACTTCCTGACAAACTTACAGTCCTTCCAGAGGCAGCTGGGGTCGCAATGGATAGAGCATGCTGGGCCTGGAGTCAGGAAGACCTGAGTTCAAATCCAGCTTCAGACACTTCCTAGCTGTGTGACCTTGGACAAGTCACTTAAACTGTTTGCCTCAGTTTTCTCAACTGTAAAAAGGATAATTATTATAGTCTGTCTGGTCTCCCTTGTTTGCCTTTCTGGGGTAATGGGACCATTTGTGATTTTCCCCCATCTTTAGTATCTTTTTGCAGCTACCTTTTCTTTTTTTTAATTATTTTTCCCAAGCATTTCTTATCTCTCCCTGCCACATCTCCCACCACTTGGACAATAAAAACAGAAACATCCCTCTCAGTGGCAACTCTGTCAAGCCCACCAAAATCAGCACCCACTTTGGCCACGTCCGGGGGCGTGGGCCTCCTTGTGCGTCGTGGGCCTATGATCCCATCTGTCTGTGGCAAGTAGGCCAAGTTTGCCTCCTCCTCAGTCCTCTGCTCTTGGGGTGCCTCTGAGCTGATCAGAGTTCTCCAGGCCTTCCAGACTGTTGTCCTCTGTAACATCATTGTCCAAATCCCATTCTGCTCCATTCATCCCACATCAGGACTTAGGAGCCCTCCCTGATCCTCTGTGATATTCGTACGCCATCCCCCCTTTTTTTTTAGCCTTTATCAGTTTGTACCCCTCTGTTTCCATTTTGATGCTGTGACAAGAAGGGCTCCTACAAAGATCTGTGTCTGCGCGGGACCTTTTCCTCTTTCTGTAGTCTCTTTGGGACGTAGACCTGTGGTGCTGAGGCTGGCTCAGCGGATGTGGCCTCAGTGGTGGCCAGTCCAGTCCACAGCTCTGGCCACCATGCAGGACTGCGCCTTTTGTCAGCTCTGTCAATCTAGTGGCTGGGAGCAGGAGCCCCGGTGCTGTTTTCATTCAGGTGCCTCAGATTGATAGTGATCAGGAGCATTTTTTCATGGATTACTTCCTTTGAAAACTGCTCTGACAACTCTTACTCATCTTTATAGTCAGATATTCTGAAGAAACTTGGAAGATATTTTCTGCTGGGATCAGTTAGGGAAAGCTTCCTGGGAGGCCTTAGCCGAACCTCAAAGAAACAGGAAAATGGTGGCTCTTTTTTTTTTCCTCCTCTACTACATCAGTTGCCCAACTTGTCCCTGCCCTCACTCACCACGGAGTCCACAGTCCACGTGGGTGGCAGTCTGCCTAGTGGTAGGATGCCCCCATCTGCCATGGGATGCTGTTTCTGGTTACCTTGGCAGACACCGTAGCCCCCACTCTCCCCACGCGCCCTCCCACCGATGTCTTCCGGCATGGTCTGAACTGAGAAGATCCTGGTAGGCTGGACCCTTAGAGATGGTTGAGTCCAAGCCATCATTGATGCTGGGGCCTTTGTCTATTCCATTGGGTCCTTAGGCTTCTTTGAGTGTGTCGGCTTAATGATCTTAGGACAGCAGGTTCACAGAGTGCCTGCAGTTAGACTAATGTTTCTTGCTGGTCTGAAAAGCTGGGATAGGTGTTCAGGCCGTATTTGGTGCTGACCTCAGCTTCCTGGACTCCTGCCATTGGCTCCTACCTGTCCTGATGAAATCCTTCATGCACTCTCTGCTTCTTCACCCTCGCGGCAGGAGTGGAGGGGGCTCCGTGGCCCTTCTGTGTTGCTAAGGAGTCCATCAGCTAACGGCCAGCCCTCATGCTGGTGAGCTGAGCTGGCTCGTCTGTCCCCAGGATGATGCCCAGAAGGGCACAAGGAACTTGAGCTCTGGGTGCGTGGTTGTTGAGGCTAAAGGACCATTTGATAGAGTAGAGGAAAATAGCCTTGAAGGCCCTCCACCCACCAGCTTCTGTGGTAGGAGGCCGCTGTGGATGTAGCATGCTGTGGCAGGAGGTCTCAAGCCGAGAGCTTGGAGGGTTTGACAGCCAGCACAGAGTCCAAGTGGAAGGGCTGCTGCAGGGCGTCCTCAGGGATATGTGGAGCCAGCGGCCCACCTAGGAGGAGAAGTGCCTGTCATCTGGTCCTTGACTTGGAGCTGGGTGGTCAGTCCAGGGGGTCAGGGTGTCTGGTCATAGTCACTGGGTACCTCCACAGTGCTCTCTGTCCGAGCAGCCAGTCCAGGGGGTCAAGGCGTAGTCACTCGGGACCTCCACGGTGCTCTCCATCCGAGCGGCCAGTCCAGGGGGTCAGGGCGTCTGGCCGTAGTCCCTGGGGACCTCCACAGTGCTCTCCGTCCGAGTGGCCAGTCCAGGGAGTCAGGGCGTCTGGCTGTAGTCCCTGGGGACCTCCACAGTGCTGTCTGTGGTCTTCAGCTGCTGCTCCTTGATAGAAAAAGTGCTGTTTGTCATTGTGGAGTTACTGTCTTCTGCCCCTCTGGGGCATTTCTCAGCCCAGAAAATTTCTTCAGTGTGGGTGTCTTTGGTTTGTTCATATTACCAGCCTCAGTTCTTCATTTGAGACTCTCTGCTGACCAGACTCTGCCCTCCTCTGCTCTTTTTTTTTTTTTTTTCAGCTGGGCAGTGGGGTTAAGTGACTTGCCAAGGGTCACACAGCTAGTAAGTGTTATGTGTCTGAGGCCGAATTTGAACTCAGGTCCTCCTGACTTTGGGGCCGGTGCTCTATCCACTGTGCCATGCTACTATCTTTTTTTTTTTTTATTAATTTATTTTGATTTATCAACAATCACTTCCATATGCTTTTGAGTTTAAAATTTTTCTCCCCCTTCCTTCCCACCATCCTTCCCAAGACAGCGCACAATCTGATATAGGCTATACAAATACATTCCTATTAAACATATTTTCACATTAGTGATGTTGTTAGTAAAAATTAGAACTAATAGGAGGAACCACCTTTTTTTTTTTTTAGGCAGTTGGGGTTAAGTGACTTGCCTAGGGTCTCACAGCTAGTAAGTGTCAAGTGTTTGGTCTGAGGCCAGATTTGAACTCAGGTCCTCCTGACTTTGGGGCCGGTGCTCTACCCACTGCGCCACCTAGCTGCCCCACCATGCTGCTATCTTAAGCCCTCCTTTTAAGCCCGGTGCTTTCCTGGTGTGGGTGTGTGCCAGCAGATGAGGGGATGCCTCAGTTTGAGAAGAAATGAACTAGCGGGTAGCCCCAGGGCCATAGAGCAGCATGGCTGACCCTCTTCCCTGACCATCTAAGAGAGGGATGGCATCTAGGGACTCTCCGGAAGCTGTGTGGTGATTGGGTGCCTGTGGAGGGCCAAGGCAGAGGGAAGTCCTCTGTGAAAGAGGCCTGGGAAAACCTAGAGAATCCTGTCAGCTGAGAAAAAGGGGCCACCCCTGCCCCAGGGGAGAATCCCCATTAGGAAGATCCCTGTCCAGTCAGCTGGTTAGGAAGATTAACAGAGCTCCTTCTTAACACTGAGCAGCCCTTGGAGGTGGGTAATACCAGTGTTACTGTGCCCATTTTACAGATAGGGAAAATAAGGGTGATCATCTTGGCTGACATTGAACACTTTAAATGTTCTTTTTGCAAAGCGCTTTATATCTAATTATCTCATTTGAGAAGTTATGTAGCTGATCCAGGGTCATAAAGATAGTAAGCATCCATCTCTCTGTCTCTGTCTCTGTCCCTCTCTCTCTTTCCCCCTCCCCCTCCCTCCCCTCTCTTTCCCCCTCTCTCTCCATCCCTCCCTCTCCCCCTCCATCCCCCCCTTCTCTCCCCCCCCTCTCCCCCCTCTCTCTCTCTCTCTCTCTCTCTCTCTCTCTCTCTCTCTCTTTCTTTCTCTCTCTCTAGGCACTGAAGTATGCCTTTCAGACGAATGACCGCCTCTGTTTTGTGATGGAATATGCCAACGGTGGGGAGGTGAGTAGTGGCATCTCTCGGTGATCTTTTGGCTTGGGAAAGGACGCAGGAGCCTGCCAGGCAGGTGTGGCAGTGGGCGCAGGGGTAGATGGGAGTTGAGAAGATGGAGAACCATGAGCGGGAGAAGGAATGGGGGACGGCCGTACCGCAGCATGTCGTGTCACAGACCATTTCAGAAATCTGAAAATACTCTTCCTGCAGGCCGCTCGTGGCTTCCCCTTTGCCCACGCTGCCCTCCTTCCCAAATCCCCATGGCCTCGTAGGCTGGAGGCCCAGGAACCCGCCTTCCTGGGCTGGCTCTGCCGGCCTTCCTCTGGGCAGCCCATGTCTGTTAGCCCTAATACCTGGTTTCCCTGAAGTTCTAGATCTGGGCTGCCCTGTGAGAGTGTGAGCGGGCACGCCGGCACGCACAGGCGGGTTGGGCTTGGGACGGGCTCCCCTCACTCAGGCGGCCTCGTCTTCTGCCGCCAGCTGTTTTTCCACCTGTCGAGAGAGCGCGTCTTCACGGAGGACAGGGCGCGGTTCTACGGGGCCGAGATCGTCTCTGCCTTGGAGTACCTGCACTCCCGGGACGTGGTCTACCGCGACATCAAGGTGAGCTCCGTCCTTGGCTGCGTGGCGGCCCAGGGAGCATTTCCGCCTCGCTTCTCCCTTTGTGGCTCCCGCTCCCTCCCGCATTGCAGAGTTGAAGGCCCGGAGCACCTCTGCCGTCCATGAATGTTTTTATCATTACGTACCGAATCTAATGTATAATCATAACATCGGCGTGGGCGGCGAGGCCGCGTGGCTCAGCCTGATTCAGTGGCACCCGATAGCTGTGGGGCCGCCGGCGGGGGAGCCTTGGACTCCAGATCCTGCCTCGGATGATGCTCACTGCATGACTCTGGGCAAATCCCTTCACCTCTCTGTGCCTCAGTTTCCTCATCTATACAATGAAAGAGGTGGACCCAGTGACCTCTGAGGCCCATTTTATCTGTAAATCTCTGGTCCTTTGGTATAAGATCATAGGACACTGGTGTAATTACTGTCATTATCAACACCTGACATTTACATAGAGCTTTGAAGTCCTCAAAGCACCGTCTGTGTGCGTGCTCCCTGCAGTGCTACAAGCCAGAGGCTGCATGAGGTCTTGTTCCCATTTTACAGATGAGAGAGCTGAGTCTCGGCTCTGAAGTCTTCTTGACTCCAAATCCAGCTCTCTCTGCTGGTGCTGTGCCATCCCTCTGAGCTCCTGCTGCGTGCAGAGTGCCGAGTCAGACAGGCTGGATTGAGCCCAGAAATGGCCGTGCCCACAGGAGTGCCCCCAGGCACAGGGCTGCAGGGGAAGGTGCTTAGCTCTGGCAGGTCAGGGCTGACTTCCTGGAAGAGCTGGCAGAAGGGGAGGAGGGCACCCCTTGGGTGCTGGCCCCTGCCCTCTGCCCAGCTCAGCCCCGTCTGGGCACCACGGCTGGAGGAGGATGTGGAGCCTGTGTCCCCTCTGAGATAGGGAAGGGCCTGGAGTTCACGTTTAGCCCGTGGAAGGCTTGGGCCACCCATGATGGCTGTCCTCAAGGGTCTTGAGTTTAGGAAGAGTCCACCGTGTTCTGCTTGGCCCCAGAAGGCCGAGGAGCAGGAGCAGTGGGGCCAGGTTAGGCTGGATGCTGGGGAGCTGTGCCAGCGTGACAGGGCTGAGGATAGCCTGTCAACGGGGCGGGGAGGGAGAGGCGGGGGGGGTCTGGCCACCCCCGCTGTGCCAGGGGCTGCGTGACTTAAGCTGTCCGGGCTGGAGGTCCCTCGCCAGCGGACTGGAGTGTGACCAGTGACAGGGACGGAGCACTGGGGGAGGGAGCCCCTCTTCTGGAAGCGTGCCCCCGGCCATGCTGAGGGGCCGCTGCTCCCACAGGTGCTTGGCTCCCTTGGGGGACCCTTGGCCTCCCCCTGTGCTGGGCCCCAGGAGCTGGGCTTGCTCCTGTGTTGACCAAGGTCTTAGAAGAGTGGAACGTCAGAGCTGGGAAGGCTTGCGGAGAGTGTCAGATGAGCCCAACCCCAACATTTCACAGCTGGGGAAGCTGAGGCCCAGAGGAGGGGAAGGAGCTTGGCCAGAGGCACGCAGGACCCTGCTGGCCTTCACTCCCGCCCCCTCTTCTTCTGTGGCCTCTTCAGAGGAGGGCGGTGCAGCCAGGAGGCTGAAGTCATGGGTGTGAATCCTGCCCTTGACCGTCACTAGCTGCGTGACCCCGGCCAAGTCACCTGACTTCCCTCCATCACAGTTGCATCATCTGTAGAGAGGAGAAAATAAAGCACCTGTGTGGGGTTATCGGGATCAAGCAGAATAATGTAGAAGGTGCTTTACCAACCTGAAAATGCTGGATAACACTTAGCTCTGTCTGGGTTTTTGAGGATGGGTAAGCAGCAGTGAAGGGTGGCCTGGGCCTCAGGCCTCTCACCTGGCCTCAGTTGCCTCCAGGGCTCTGCTGAGCAGCACGGCAGCCCCAGGACAGCTCGGCCCCTCTGTCTGTGCTCTGGGCCAGGCCCTCACGCCCTTGCCTTCCTTCCAGCTGGAGAATCTCATGCTGGACAAAGACGGGCACATCAGGATCACTGACTTTGGCCTCTGCAAAGAGGGCATCAGCGATGGGGCCACCATGAAGACCTTCTGCGGCACTCCGGAGTACCTGGCCCCAGAGGTAGCCTGGGAGCCAGGCTGTGGGAGGCGGGGCGGGTCAGGAGCAGCCCCCACCCCCCCCCATGACCAAGAGCAGGGCCCGCTTCTCCTTCCCTTCCATCCCACTCACTGTCTTTGTTGCCCTCGGACCAGGGGATCCCTCGTGCCAGGAAGGGGCGTTGGGGCTGAGGGGGAGGACCTGACGTGCCCTCTTCCTCTCCACCCTCCAGGTACTGGAGGACAATGACTATGGGAGGGCAGTGGACTGGTGGGGGCTGGGCGTGGTGATGTACGAGATGACGTGTGGCCGGCTGCCCTTTTACAACCAGGACCACGAGCGCCTCTTCGAGCTGATCCTTATGGAGGAGATCCGTTTTCCTCGCACGCTGAGCCCTGAGGCCAAATCTCTGCTGGCCGGGCTCCTGAAAAAGGACCCCAAACAGAGGTGAACCGTGGCGCGGGCACACAGCGAGGCGAGGGAGGGAGGATTGTGAGAGCTGTCGCAAGGTGGCCTGGGCTGCTTTGAGGGGCAGTGGGCTCCCTGCTCACTCGGGGTCTCCAAGAAGAGGTTTGCAGGGCCCGCTCTGGGAGAGAGGAGATCCTGTGTGTCTGAGCAGTGTGCCAAATGTAGGCGCCCAGGAAGGGAATCGAGTGGAGGGGAGCCCCAGAGACGCTGAGGCTGTGTGTGTCCTTGCAGGTTGGGCGGGGGTCCCCGGGACGCCAGGGAGGTCATGGAGCACCGCTTCTTCTCGCCCATCAATTGGCAGGACGTCTTGCAGAAGAAGGTAACGGGTGTTTCCCAGAATCCCCGGGAACTCCTGCTCCATCCTGCCGCCCCTTCCTCCTCCCTCCAGCTTCTTCCCTTCCTAGGATGCCCCTTGGGGAGACCTTCCCCTCCCACTTCCCACAGGGCTTGGTCTGGAGGCCCCCATTACTCCTGACACGTCTCTGGGGGGTCTGACCTCCAAAGGCCGCTCTGACTTGGTCATCCTGGAATTGTCAGGTCTCAGCTGTTCTGAGGAGCCAGGGATGAGGCCTCCCTTGGGAGAAGAGGGTGGAGGTAGGGGTGAAGAAACAGGGGTTCTGCCTTTCTGGCTGTTGGCAAGAGCACCATGCTCGCCGCTGACCCTGCCCTCCCACTCTCCCCCAGCTCCTGCCCCCATTTAAGCCCCAGGTCACATCAGAGATTGACACGCGGTACTTTGATGATGAATTCACGGCACAGTCCATCACCATCACCCCCCCAGACCGATGTAAGTAAGGCTTCTTTCCTCCTAGCAACACAGAAAAGTCAGGATCCTCCAGATGACTCCTGGGGGGTTCAGTAGGCAGCCTGAGCCCCCTGCCCTCTAGATCCCTCCTCAGGCCTTGGGGCCCCCTTTCTCTGTGCTTCCTAGCCCCTCAAGCCTTTTCTCCTCTAGGAAATGCCTCCTTTTTCAGCCACAGGCCCCTGGCCTCTGGACCGGCTGGCAGGGGCCAGCCTCCCTCAGGCGCTCCTCTCCCCTTTTTGCAGATGACAGCATGGGCTCCCTTGAGTCTGACCAGCGCACCCACTTCCCACAGTTCTCTTACTCAGCCAGCATCCGGGAGTGACTTGACCGCTGGAGCAGAGCCCATGCAGGATGGATGGGCGGCTGCCGAGGCCACAGGCTGCCTCCCTTCTGGGTCACTTTGCCCCTGGTCCCATCCCCACCCTCACCCACACGCTTTTTCCTCCTTCCCAACCTTGTCTCTAAAGGATCCAGGCCTTCCTTCATCCCTCCTCGCCTGGCGCTCACCTACTAATCTTGCCCTGACCGCGGCCCTTCGGCCCTGGGGCGCTTTGGCAGGGAGAGGGCAGAGGGAACAACTTGGCCTGAGGAGACTTTTTAACCAGGCCACAGGTTCCCCAAGGTACAAAGGACTCAGTAAGCCCAGCTCACTGCTGGCCTCACGTCCTGGACAGCTCTCATGTCCGTAAGGGGAGCGTGGAAGCCCCTGCAGTCCCTGCTCCACGCGGGAGGCTGCTGGGCTCCCACATCTCCTGCTCTGAGCTCTTCGCTCAAGGGTCGCACGGTGGATGTGGCCAGCCTTGTCCCTCTGACTGGGCACCGAGGAGGTCTCTGCCCTTCCTCAGTGGGAGCCCAGGATCCCTTCTCCCCCTACTGGCTCCGACTGGCCGGGCCTACGGAGAGCGGTGGTGCTTTATCCTGGATCAAGTCCGCCATCAGCCCCTCTCCTTGGGCCTCGACCTCGTGGGTGTGTCAGGAGAATGCCCGGCAGTGGCACCCTCGCCAGCAACGGGCAGGCATAGCTACTAAAGCAATAATGTCTCGCACCCAAGCAGCCTTAAAGCCGGACGCCCTGGAGCTGGGTGCCCGCCTCACCTTTGGGCCTCTGCCTTTGCAGGAGCTCCCCGGGCTAGCCTAAGGGCAGGCCGTTCCTCACCAGATGAGATGGCCGGGAGCAACAGGGCTAGGGTGGGGTTCTCATCACCCCTGCTGGGGTCAGCTGTAGACATCTTGGGCTGGCCAGAAGGGGAGCAGGCCACTTTTTCTCTAAGGAGATGCCGGCTATGGGGGCGAGCTTGAGTAGGACCCCCAGAGCAGTGGCTCCCCTGTTGGGGGACCTGCCTTCCCATGCATACAGGGAAGCAGGGAACAGCACTCTTGTCTCTGCCCCTTTCCTCCTTCCTGGATACAGACTCCTGTCCACCATGGCATGTGGCCACCCCACTGGGAACCCCACCCCCTTTCCCAGTGCCTTATCTGGATAACGTGATGGCCTCCCCAGAGTGAAAGGTCAAGGCCGAGGAACATCAGGGATTGGAGGCCTGGGGGGACCCTGGCTTCTGTTTAGGGGGGTGATGGAGGCTCTGGTACGGTCTGTCACATCTCCCCCCGCCCCCCCCATTTTAGCCTGATTTCTCTCAGTTTCTTCATCTCTCCCTCCTGGCCCTAGGCAACTGCTGATCCTGTCCCCATTCCTCAGCCTCCCCCAAAGCTGCTGGCTGGGCCAGAGCTTCTGATGACTGGGGTGACCTAGGGCGGGCCTCCCTGGGCATTCTCCCCTCATCCCTTACTGAAGGCTTTGGGTCACAGCTCTAAGAGGAGACTGGGCCCAGAAGCTTTTTGTCCAAGGTGGCTGCACCCTGAGTCCAGATCTGAGGCTGGAAGGGCCAGGTCAGGAGGGCATTGTGAACTGGGGCCCTGCTTTGGGTTAGGCTCGAGGGCACATTCATCACCCCCCATCTCCCCAAGGACTGAGGTGGGGGGTTCAGGACTGTTACAGATTCCTTAATGCAACAGTGTTCAGGCCCCCAGCTCCCAGGGAAGGGGTCAATGGGGGCATTAGGTCAAAATTCTCGGTCCAGTGCTTTCCTCTGGCCGGGGCATCTGCTCGTGGAGGCCTAGGGTTGGTCCCATTTCCCTTTCTGCATCTCCTGAGGCCTGTTGCTCATGCGGTACCAGAAGAGCCTTAAGATGAGACGGGGCAGGGGTGTGCTGGCTGCAAGGCCCCTTGTCAGCCCTGCCCGAGCCCAAATGCTCGGCCCTGCATCTCCCTCAGATGTTTCCTTCTGCTCACACAGACTGATCCGGAGGGGGATGTTGCCGTCTCCCCCAAACCCATCTGCCCCATTCTGGGGTTGGAAGCAGGGAGTTCCAAGTGATGGCTCCTCACAGCAGCTATGGCGTGTCAGGCTTGGTGCGTGTGTGCGTGTGTGCGTGTGTGCGTGTGTGTGTGTGTGTGTATACATATACATACATATCTGTGTGTCTCTATGTTAGGGATAGGTCCTTCCCTAGGACCCTGGGGGTGGGCAGAACGGGTCAGGGACATTAAGGGCTCCTCAAGGCTCAGGGCCTCTCTCCTGCCCCACCCCAAGGACACCTCCCGGGGCTGCTGCAGCTCACAGGGGGCGGAGGGCCTCCTGGCTGCCTGCTTGGGGGTGGGGGATGTTTTCAGTTTGGGGGGGGGGGTTATGTTTTTCCTCGTGATGCAGGGGAGGGGACTGGAGGCCAGGGATGGCAAAGGCTTTGTGTGGGGATGTTTTTGTGTTTGTTTCTGTAAATCATTTTAGCTACTTTCTTTCTCTTTGAATTTATACGGTACCAACAATTAAAAAAAAAATTCTGACAAATTGAGTCTCGTTTGGTCTCGGCCCAGGTAGGGCCCCCTGCCGGCTGACTTTTCTTGAACCCGAGGCCCAAATTGGGAAGGCTTTGCTTGAGCCGATCTCTGTGGGAGCAGCTGCTTCCAGGATGTGGCTGAGGAGGAGACTGCGGGCACCGAGCCCTGCCCACTCCACGTGGCCACGCTTTAGGATGTATTTGGTCAGCAAGTCTGCCAGCGCCTGCGCCAGGGTTAGGGAGTGGGGGAGCTGCTGGTCCTTGGCTGTCTGAGGTCAGCCAGCAGAGACGAGTGCCTGAGTTCAGAGGGTCCTGGAGAGGAAGGTGGCCACTGACCAGTGGAGTCGACAGAGCCTCGTGTGAGACGTGATGCCCGAGTAGGGTTTGAAGACTGGTGCAGAATAGTCCCAGAGAGCAAAGACATTGCAGGCATAGGAGGGGCACGGTCCAAGCCGCAGAGGCAAGAAAGGCCAGTTTGGCCTGGGCTGGAGTGTGGTGCACAGCCTCCAATGCCAGGCTGAGGAGTTGGCACTACAGTCATCGGAAGCTCTGGCCCAGCCCGCAGCTTTGGGGGAGGCAGGAGCATGGAGACCTAGCTGTCTGACAGCCCTCCAGGGACAGGTGGGGGAAGGAGGTCAGGGTTACAGTTCTGAAGGGACCTCGAAGGATGTCTTGGGGCCTTTCTGTCACCCTGTACAACATCCTTGGCAGTCTTTATTTCGAGGAATCTGGCGAGGGGGCAGGGAACCTGCTGCCTCCCCTGACGGTGCAGTAGTCTTCTATGGATAGGAAGTTTTTCCTGACTTCAGGCCTCAGTTTGCCTCTCCAGGGCCGAGGGACTGCCCCTCCCTGCCACCTTTGTATTCTCGGTGCTCAGCACAGTGCTCTCAGCACATAGGAGGTAATACTAATAAGAGCCGTGTGTATATAGCACCTACTAGTGCTAGGCACTGGAAAGTGCTTTTGATAACTACTTGATCCTCACAGCAATCCTGCTCCCATTTTATCATTGAAGAAACTTGAGGCAAGTAAGTGACTTGCCTAGGATCATACAGCTAGCAAGTGTCAAGTGTCTGAGACCCTGAATTTGAACGGGGTTCTCCCTGACTCCAAGTCCAGCCCTCTGTACACTGCCCACCTAGCCGTCTTAATAACACTTCAAGGATTCCTGCCCAGATGTTAAAGCCGTTAGGCTCAGTGCAGCTGAGATCAATCCCCTTTACTTTCTTTGGTTCCATAACAGATTGACTTTCCATTCCACTCAAACACCTGAATCTTTTTCAGACGAATTGCTGTCTTGTTACTGCCTCCCCCATCCTACACTTGGGAAGTTGGCTTTTTGAACCAGTGTGTGACTTTACGTTGGTCTCTATTGAATTTCACCGGATTTGATTTTGGCCAACATTCTAGCCTGTCAAGATCTCTTTGGACCTTGACTGCTATTGTCTGGAGTGTTTGCTTTCCCACCGCAGCAGACAGAAGCATTCTACTCAGACCTTTATCCAAATCACTGATAGGCACATTATAAGGCTGTTCCTCAGCAAGAGGCCAAACCCAGATTCCTGGGGCACTCCACTAGACGTGAGGTGGTTGGGTAGCCCGTGAACACTGGATTTCAACCTCATCAGGTTCGTTCTAATCTTTCCCCATCTGAAACTCCTTTCCAAGAGAAAACAGGCCCACGATGGGAGTAAATGAGCGGAGCCCTCTCACTGCAGACCATTCAGTCCGAATGGAGATCTGGTCCTGGACACTCTTTGGAGCTCACCTGCCTGGCTCCCCAGCAGGTCCTTGGGCCCCGGGACCACTCTGACCTAGAGCTCTGGAGTGGGAGTTTGAGGATCTGAGCTGAATCCCAGCTGTGTGACCCTGGGCAAGTCACAGCTTAGAGAAGTTGTCTCAGTTCTTGCAAAAATGAGGGTGTTGGAGCAGATGGGTCACCTAAGGCCATTTCCAGATCCAAGTCCTACAACTTTAGGGGAAGGGGAAAGACGCTTGGGATAATCCCAGACCAATAGGGACTGAGCACTTGTTCTGTATTCATCTGGTGGAGATGAAGACCTGACTAGGCACACTTCCCATCTTGGCCTGTTTCCTCTCCAGTACAAGGAATTTCCTAATATTTGCTCAGTCTACCTCACAAGGGCCCTGTACACCTTAGATCGGCAGGCCCTGTTCCTGTTGGTATTTCAGTCTGCGGGTGGCATTTCTGTTGGTACCAGCCATGGCTTGTTAGGAGGAGAGAGCCCTTGGGAAGGAGACGGGGGTGGAGATGTTTGCAGAGACTTTCAAGTAGGGCTCTCGTGCCCCCTCCTACTTCCAGCCCTTCCTGACCCCCCCCAACCCCAAGCTGGGAGCACCCTCACTCTCCCGAAAACACTCCCACTGTGTGGTAGTTACTGATGGATCTATCAGTCAGCAAACATTTATTAAGCCCCTACTGTGTGCCAAGCACCATGCTAAGTGCTGGGAAGACATTAACTGGTCTGTGCCCTCAAATAGCTTTCTTTCTGTGGAGGGAGATACTTGCGTATTTTAAGCATATGTAGACTAGCTACAAAATAAAACAAGGAAGTGAGAGAGGTAGGGATTGTACCAGCAGTTGGAGGGTCAGGGAACCTTTCCAGGTCCAGTCTGGAAGGAAGAGAAGAAATCTGTGCCGCAGGGGGGAGGAAGGGGCAAATGCCAGAAACCTAGGAGAAAGAATGAAAGGGCATGGGAGGTGCCAGTGGGCCTGGAGAGATCTGGGAAGGGCAGGGATGAGGAACGATGCCGGCAAGATAGACCGGGGCCAGGTGGTGAAGTACTTTAAACAGGGGCAGTTGAATTTGCTCCTAGCAGCAGTAGGGAGCCCCTGGAGTTTATTTGGTAAGAGTGATGCAGTCAGATCTGTACATATGGAAGGCCACTTGGGCAGCTCCCCAGAAGACGATCAGAATGGGGAGAGAGGCGGCCAGAAGACCCAATGAGCCAATGGACTAGTCAGTGTTTGCAGGGATGAGGACCTGAACTAAAGGGGTGTGGGTATGCATTTCTCTGTATTTGCCCCATAAAAAAAACCAGCTCCTTGAGACAAAGGACAGGGGCAGCTAGGTGGCACAGTGGATAGAGCTCAGGCCTCAGTGTCGGGAGAACCCAAGTTCAAATCTGGCCTCAGACACTTGACACTTGCTAGCTGTGTGACCCTGGGCAAGTCACTTAACCCTGATTGCCTCACCAAAAAGCAATTAAAAAAAAAAGAGAGAGACAAGGGGCAGTATGCATTTTGTCTTCACATTCCCAGGGGGTCTACTGACCCTTCATTTTACAGGTTCAGGCTCAAAGAGGCTGCAGGGACACCAAAGGTCAAACTCTAAGTTGGAGTCAGAAGTGGAATGAGGACTCGGACATCTCCCTATCCCAAGTGCTTTACACTTTCCTGCACAATGGGATCCAGCTGAAGAAGATGTACTGCAAGTCAGGAAGACTGGAGTTCAAATCCTGCCTTGGATACTAGCTATGTGACTCTGGTCAAGTCACTTAACCTATCTGCTTCAGTTTCCTCATCTGTAAAATGAAGAAAATAACAGCACCTACCTCCCAGAATTGTTGGGAGGGTAGAATGAAATTTATGTTTGTAAAACGCTTAAAGAGCTATATAAATATGTAGTTGTTCAGTTGTGTCTGACTCTGTGACCCCATTTTTAGTTTTTCTTGGCAAAGATACTGGGGTTGCTAGATGGCACAGTGGCTAGAGTGCTGGGCTTAGGGTCAGGAAGATTCGTTTTCCCGAGTTCAAATCCAGCCTCAGACACTTACTAGCCGTATGACGCTGGGCAAGTCGCTTGATGCTGTTTGCCTCTGTTTCCTCATCTGTAAAATGAGCTGGAGAAGGAAATGGCAAACCACTCCAGTATCTTTGCCAAGAAAACCTCAAATAGGGTCATGATGAGTCGGGCACGACTGAAAAACGACCAAACAACAATCGCAAAAATGGCATTTTACAGATGAGAAAGCTGAGGCAAACAGGATGAAGTGACTTGACCAGGATCGGTCAGCTAGTAAGAGCCTGAGACTGGATTGAACTCACTCCGGACTCCAGGGCGGCGCTCCGTGCACTATGGCGCCACCTAGCTACCCTATTTAATACAAATAAACACTAAATAAAAATTCTAGCTGTTCTTAACTAGAGGTCCGGCCATTAGAAAAAACCAAACCGGGCAGGGCCGCAACTCAGTTACATTGTAACCAAGCAGCTAAGACTCCACCTGAAAACCCAGGTCCCCGCAGGCAAGCCGCCGCCGGCCTGAATCTGGAACGGCCAATCAGCACCGCGAGCTACGGAGGAGCCAATCATGGCCACGCCCTGCGGACCACGTGAGCACTAACTAGAGCAAGGCCCCTGCCTCCCGCTGTGACCAATTAGAGTGGGGGCGGGGCGGATTGCATTGGGCCCAATGGCCCCGCTTCCCGGGAATTTTCAAGGGGGCTCGCTAGAAGGTAGGAAGAGAGAGACCCGTCCCCACACCCATTAAAAAGGCCCAGACCAAAGCGCCGCCCCATCCCGCAGCTCTGTGGCTCCGTGCGTGGCGAGGATGTCGGTGAGCCCCGCTGCTGGGAGGAGCTGCGCCTCTCCTTCCCCTCCCCCCCACCCCGGCGCGTCTCCTCTCTCCCAGGCAGTGCTGACCCGGGGGCTTCCCTCTCCTTGCAGGGCCCCGTCAAATCAGCGCCCCTAGAAAAGCCTGTCGCCGCTGCCACCCCAGGGACGGCGCCTGCTGGTAGGAGCCCCAGGCCGACAGCTCGCGGACGGGCCGGCCGTCTTAGTAGTGAGCCACATGGCCATCATCGCCGCCTTCCTCTGCAGGCCGTTCGGAGAGGGCCGCGCAGCCGTGGCCGCCCCCCGGGCTCGCCGAGGCACTGACCACGCTGGGGCTGGATGGGGAGCGGGAGTACGCGGGAGATATCTTCGTCAGTGTCATGGTGAGGCGGGAGGGAAGTGGGCGCTGATTGGACCTAACGGCCTGTCCCGATTGGCTAGAACTCGATCCAGTTGTCAGCGGGATGGCTCACTACCGTCCCTGGCTCCCCCCCCCCCTTAAGTCTGCAGGTGAAAACAGGCTTCTTTGCCTTTATTGTTTTCCAGCAGCCGGGTTCGAAGCTTCTAATTCGATGGAGCTGGTGTCTCTGCCCACTTATTGACTCCTCCCAGAGGCGTCAGTGTTTGGTCCCAACGCTTGAAACATTTTTTTTTTTTTTAGTAAATTAGCATTTATTAAGCGCCTACTGTGTGCCAGGCACCGTGCTAAGCGCCGGAGAAAGGCAAAAGACAGTCCCCGCTCCCAAGGAGCTCAGTCCGATAGAGGAGACAGCATGCAAATCACTGTGTACAAACAAGATATTTTCGCCTCTTACTTTCTCTGGTTCACCCCTGTGCTTAAGCTTCCACTCGGGGAGTGGACTCCGGGCCGAATTCTCCCTACTGCCCCCACTCCAGGCAGGCCAGGCGCTCCCCAAGACAGACTTGCCTCGTGCGGTGACGGCAGAGATGCGTGCCCTTGTGGTAGACTGGCTGGTGCAGGTGCACGTATGTAGCGGGGAGCGGGGCCTGGGCGGGGGGGTCCCCGGGTCAGGCCCCGCCCCTACGGCCGGCCTCAGGCCTTGCCCTTCCCCTCCCCAGGAATACCTGGGCCTGGCTGGGGACACGCTCTATCTGGCCGTGCACCTGCTGGATTCGTACTTGCGCGTGGCACCCGTGCGGCTGCGCCACCTGCAGCTGCTGGGGGTCGCCTGCCTCTTCGTGGCGTGCAAGGTGGAGGAAAGTACCCGCCCCGAGGTAGGGCCGGGCCGCGAGGGGAGGGGCGGAAGGGAAGGAGGGAGGGAGTGGGGAGGGCTGGCGGTCCCTGGGGCGGGACTGGCTGGCCTGCACCCACCTGTTCCCATCTCCCTGCCCCCTCCCGCTCGGTTTCCCTAACCCCCGCCCCAGCCAGCCTCCCTGTGCCTCCTGGGCGCCGGCTCCTTCTCCCCGGCCCAGCTGCTCCGCGCTGAACGGCGCCTCCTCAGACGCCTGAACTTCCAGCTGTACTACCCGGGTCCCCTTCTCTGCCTGGGCCTGCTGGCCGCCCTGGCCCGGAGCCGGCCGCGGGTGAGCGGGACGGGACTAACGAAGAGAGGCTGGGCGGGCCGGAGCGCGGGGAGCCGGAGTCTCCCCCTGAGTCCCAGCCCTCTCTCAGGTTGTGCTCTTGGCCACCTACTTCTTGGAGCTCTCTGTCCTGGAGGCCGAGGCCGCGGGCTGGGAGCCAGGCCGTCGGGCTGCTGCAGCCCTAGCCCTGGCCCAGCGCGTGCTCCCGCACGAAGCCGGAGAGGCCCCCGAACCGGGTCTCTACAGGTACTGCTCCTTGCCCCAGCTCCACTAGAACGTACTTAGAGGTCCTTAGAGATGGAAGAGCGCTTAGAGATCCTCCCTGGGCAGAAGGGGAAAGTGGGGTTTCCCCCGATGGGAAGGAGCCACGGCAGGGCGCTGTCGTCCCAGGCCGTCGGGGATGGGCCCCCTCCACCCTAGCCTCGCTCACATCTCTCCTTTCCCTGGTCCTTGCCCTCCCCTTGCAGCAAGGCGGAGCTGGGCCCCATCGAGCCGTGCATGGCCCGAGCGGCGCTGCGGGGCCCCGCCCCTGGTCGGGCCGCTGTCTTTCTCAAGTACGCGCGACCCCAGAGGCAGTGCATTAGCCTCACCGCCGCCCGCCTGCTCTCCAGGACCTGCCCTGCGCCTCCCTGAGCTGGAGGGGGAAGGGGGGGGGAGAACAAGGAGAGGGTCTTGTTTAAAAAAAAAAAAAGTTATACGTCTTTGTATCTGCACTTCTAATAAAAACGTTGTTTTTAAATTCTGGCCTTTTCCTAATTTTCTCTTCTCCTTATTCAAATGCTTTCTCCTCCCCTCCCCCTTCTCTGGCCATAATTCTCCTCGACCTTAGCTCCCCCCAGCAAGAGAAAACTCGAGGAATGGACGTGACCACGTATCTGTCTGGGGCCAAGGGGAGCGGAGTGGTAGCGTCCCAACACTAGAGCTCCGTTACAGGGACGCTTGGGGCCTGGGAACAGGCCCAAAGGACAAAGGGCCTGGCTGAAAATCTACTGCTCGGTTCCGTGTTCCAATATCCGAGTTCCAGAACGGGGTTGCTGGGATTGCCGCTCGTGGGGGGGGGGGGGGGGAGGGGGGGGAGGAAAGCGAGAAAATCGGGATTTGGGTCTTAATTCGGAGTGGTGCATTTGAGGGAGAGGGGGGCGTTGAGAAAAGATTCCCCAGCCCCGCAGGAGTGGCCGGAGCCCGTGACGGCGGCGTCTAGGGTGGGGATGGGCTCCCCACGGTTGGTGATGCGGCGGCTGTAGTGCCGCGAATTTCCCACAATGCACTGCGGTGCGCTGTCCCCGGTGCTGATGCTGAGTGCAGCCCCTGAGCCACCGCCTCGTCCGCCGCCCTCCCGTTCCCCACCAGGCCCGGGCCCCCGCCATGGCCCGGGCCCGGAGGCCTCGGGAGGCCCAGGCGGGGGAGCCCTGGAAAGCAGCCTCCGAGCCGCCGTGGCGTTCAAGGCCGAGGGCCAACGCTGTTACCGAGAGAAGAAGTTCCGCGAGGCTATTGGCAAGTACCACCGGGCGTTGCTGCAGCTGAAAGCGGCACAGGGAGCCCGCCAGCCCGGCCCGGGCCCCGGCTCCGCGCCCCCGCGGCTCAGTGAGGAGCAGCGGCGCCTCATGGAGAGCACAGAGGTGGAGTGCTATGACAGCCTCACTGGTATGGCTGGGGCCTGGGGGAAGGGACAGGAGGGCCCCCGAGACTGGGGAGGCTTCGGGGACCACAGGCGCGGAGGGTGGGGCGACCAAGGAGCAGAGGCCAGGGGCGCCTGACCCTGGGGTCTCTGGAGTCAGGGAAGTCCAAAGTGGGGGGGCGCAGGAGACATCCGGTGGGGAGGGAGCCCTCTGGGCTTCCCCAGGGCTAGAAGTCCGCCCCGCTCCCCACCCCTACCCCTCGACTGCTCTCAACCCTGCCTGCTTCGCCCGAGTTATCCCCGCTCAGTGCAGCGTGGTGGGCAGGGAGTGAGGAGACAGCACCGGGAGGAGGCGGGAGGGGACCCGAGCGAAACCCCAGCCACCCACCTCGAGGGACCTGGCTAAGGCCGTCCAGTCTGGGTGGACAGGCTGGACTTTTCTCTCCAGCTCCCTCTAGCGTCAACGCGAATTGGTTCTAGTGTCACGTGGCAGTTGTTTGACTCCCTCAAGTTTCGGAGCCCTCGGCCCCTTTTACGCTTTGACATCCCTAGAGCCTGCTCTGATTGTCTCTAATCTCATTCAGGCCCATTTGCCCTGTGCCCGCGTGGCTCCCTTTAGCGGCTGCCTGAGTTAATGTCCTAAAGATCCCATTCCGCCCCGCTCGGGCCCCCTCTTCCTGTCCACACCCCTTTATTCTCGGCTTCCCTCTAGTCTTCTCACCAGCGCTCTGTAAATGGGATTCCCAAGCACCATATGCCCCGGGCTGCGTATTCCGATGGGTGTATTTCTGATTTAGAGGGGTTAATGGGGAGGGACTGGGCTCGAGGCCGAGCCGCGGGCCACTCTGACCGTCCCGCCTCAGCGTGTCTGCTGCAGTCGGAGTTGGTGAACTACGAGAGGGTGCGGGAATACTGCTTCAAGGTGCTGGAGAAGCAGCAGGACAACTTCAAGGCCACTTACCGGGCGGGCATCGCCTTCTACCATCTGGGCGACTACAGCCGCGCCCTGCGCTACCTACAGGAGGCCCGGAGCCGGGAACCCACAGGTGAGAGCCGCCAATGAAAGACTGGGATGGGGAGAGCAAGGGACTGGGAGTCTGGAAGACTCGGGTTCGAATCGCACCTCCAACCCCTGCCGGTGGTCTGGCCCTGACCCAGTCACTCACCTTCTCTGAGCCTCAGTTTCATTATCTGTGAAATGGGATCATAATAGCATGGACAGGATTGTCACGAGGAGATGAGGCTCAAAGGAGATGTAAGGAAAGGGCTTTTGTAGACCTTAAAGCTCCACATAAGCGTGAGCTGCTGTTATATTATTCTGGCTAGTGAGAATCAGGAGGTGGGGGAGGGAGGGAGAAGAGGAAGAGGAGAAGGCAAAGAAACCTCCCCCACCCAACAAGTACCCAATTAGATATAAAGGGGATAGCATCCCCCTCCCAGACAGACACCTTTCCCAAGGCACAGACCCCCACCCATACTGAGGGGAACCCACACACACCCAGAGGCAGATGCTTTCTATGCGCACCGAGACTTGAACATACGGACACCCACACACACGGAGAGAGGGAGAGAGAGAAGGGGGGGGGTAGATCTCACCCCACACCCAGATCTAGACGCCTTCCCACATAAACTCAGGCAGTCACAGAGCCTGGCTAAATACAGAAGCACAGAGACAGTCACGTGTGGAGATGCCGCCCATCTACCCAGAACCAGACTCAGGTCGTTCCCCAGTACCTCCCCACAAAAGTGCACTCACCTAGGCATGGAGACGCTGCCCCACCCCCGCCTCCCACACACACAAAGGCAGCCACAGTTTCTACTCAAAGACCTAACCCTTCCGCCCGCTCCCACACACCAAGATTCCCACATCTCCCATCCCCCACCCCCGCCCCCTGGCCAGAGAGCCACGACGGCCACGCACCTTGGCTGACCCCGCCTGCCGGCCGGCCCCCCAGCGTGCCCTTCCCGTACGCAGACACCAACGTCCTTCGCTACATCCAGCTGACCCAGCTGCGGATGAGCCGCTGCAGCCGAGAGCGAGAAGGTGGGAGCAGCGAGGGGCCCGCCCGAGCTCGAGATGTGATTGGCTGATCCACTGGCCTCACTCCTGGGGTCCCCCTCCCCTGGCCCGTGTCGCGTGCTTTGTGTGAGACTTGGGAGTCCAGCCCTGGGAGGAGCAGGGGGAAAGGGTGGGGAGGTTCTTGCACACTGATGCCAACTTCTGGTTTTGCCCCTGCCTTGTTGGAGGCTTCTCTTTATTTTTGACTACGATGAGGGTGATCGCCCCTGGCTGGACCCACCGCAGGGGGCTGTTGTGTAGGGTCCCAAGATAATAAATGTGAAAAAGTTAACGGTGAACCAAAAGCGTGAGGTGATGGTGGTGTTATCTGGGTGGCCAGGGCGGGTCCTCCACACTTGGGTATTAGGGTCGATCGGCCCCTCCCCCCTCCCACTGGTGGGAAAGATTTGGCAATGACAGGCCGCCTCCCTCTCAGACCCAAGTCCCATCAGCAGACAGCAGAGTACAAGACAAGGAACTTATATTAGCCAGACTTTCCCCTCCCACCCCCCTTCCCCAATAAATAACATAGCATCAGTCCCTGTAGGGGCCTCTCTCTGCCCCATGGGGGCAGCACCCTCAGGCCAGGGCTGTACATTCAGTGGGAGACATCAGCCTCAGGGTCAGAGAAGGTGGGCACGACCCCACATAGGGGTACTGTGCTGTCCTGGCTCTGTCCTTCTGTGTCCATGTCAAGCAGGCTAGGCTGGGGCCCCGGGGTGCCTGGTGTCCCGGGTGCAGGAGGGGAGGAGCCGCTGAATGTTCTATTGAAGGAGACCAGCTTCCAAGGGTCAAGCCGAGGCCGGCTGGCAGCTGGCCTTGGCCGAGGGGCAAAGGTCAGAGTGGTGGGCCGGCCTGGTGGCTCTGGAGGAGGCCTTCGTCGAGGGGGAAACAATGTCTGGGGGTCAGGCAGGCGGGGAAAGTCCAGGGGGTCCCTGGGGACTGAAAGAAGAGAAAATTGGTCCGGGAGGGGTTTTAGTGGCCCAGGCCTAAAGCTGTTGGCCCAAGGCAGACCTTCCCAACCCAGCCTCTCTGCCCCCTTCTCCAGTAGCGGGGCTGGGGCCAGCCCAATGCAGGCCACTTCCCACCCTGGCCAGGGTTGTACAGTCAGGTCCTGGAGACAGGAAAAACAGAACTAAAAGCCTGGGTTGGATTCTAGGCCTGGGCCTGGCTCTCCCTACTCAGTCTGTGACCTTAGGCCTATCCCATCCCCTCTCTGGACCTCAGCTTCTTCTGTGAAATAAAGGAATTGCACCCAGGGGGCCCTGCCAGTCTCAGTTTGAACTGGTTTCCTATTTCTGGATATTTCCATGCCCAATCTGCCGTCATCCAGGATCTCTGTATTGGCCTGGGCCAAAGCAGCGAGGGGAAGGGGATGAGGGCTCAGACAGGAGCCCTACCCACTGTGCTCTCCGAGGTTGGGGGAGGGACTCCCTCAGGCCTGGGGACCTGGTACCGGGCCCAGACAATCCCATCTTGTTATGCCCAAGGCAAGCTCAGACAATGGACAGTGAGGGATAAGAAGGGAGTTTCTGTGTCAGGGCGAAGGGCAGAGGAGCAGACCAAGGTCCCTGGCCTGAGCCTGAGGCCCCCAACATCCACTTGCTGAGTCATGGCTCCCCCCACGCCAGGGGCTGCCCACTCCCCAAGATCCTCCTCCCCACAGAAGCTCGGCTGGGCTTCTGTCCCATCCGACTGCGAGCAAGAGTTCTTTTGCTAATATCCTCCATGAGGAGCCGCCCACTGTCCCCTCCAGCACCTAGAAGCCTTTTTACAAAGCGGCCCTTTCCACCTGGACAAGCTCTTCCCTTTCTGGTGGCACAGCCAGGGTGCTTTGCTGCTTGTGGAACCCTGGGCCTCGGTTTCCTCCTCTGACCCCCCCAGCTCCCATGCAAGCTGGCCTGGCCCCTGACCCTCACCCTCTGGTCCTGGTCGGTGGCTCTGCACCAGCTGCCTCAGGGCCCCATCTGACGGGGTCCGGCGATGCCCTCGGCTCACAGCCCGGGCAGCGGTGACATGGGTGGGGGTGAGCGACTGGCGGGGGTCCTTCTTGAAGCTCTCCACCTCCAGGTCCACCAGGGGATTGGTGGCAGGTGTGCTTGGGGGGGAGGTCCCTACGCCCATGGCCGGGGGCCCTTCGTCACTGTCTGAGCGAATCAGCGATCGGGTGGAGTTGCAGTCAGAAAGGGAGGACAGGGAGAGGATGGTGGCTGAAGGCACCAGGCCAGGGGCAGGGGGCGGGGGGGCCTCTTCCCCTGCCCCTCTCCCGTGGCAGCGGGCCCTCCGTCCAGGTGGGCTGGGTCCCCGGGGGAAACGAGCATTCCGGGGGAAAAGTCCATCCCTCCACCAGTGAGACTCGTCATCTCCATCAGAGGCTTGGGCCTCTGCCACGTCACTGCCCAAGGCCACGGCCCCCAGGATGGTGGCGCACCTCAGCAGTGCCAGCTCACTCCGCTTCCGGGGGGCCCCACCCCGTCCTGGAGGGGCTGTTGCAGGGTGAGGTGACTCCCAGGGGCTGGCGGGGGCCTCGGCAGGCAGAGGTAAGGTGAGGTAGGATGGGGGAGTGTAGGGGGAGGGGGGCACACTGGTCCCATCAGCTTCTGAAAACTCTTCTGTTGGGGGGGGAGCAGGAATAAAAGAGATGACGTAAGTTGGAGGCCCCTGCGTCACTGGGCTTCCTCCCATTCCCACCCCCAAGGCTCCTCCCTGCCTGCCCCCTGTCCCTCCCAGTCCCTCCCCACCTTGCCCTTGCCCTGGCCCTCACCCATCTCTGTGAGGCTGGAGAAGCCTGGGGCCATGGGCATATGTTTGGGAGACTTGCCCAGGTTCGGGGCACTGGAGGACCACTGCTTGCTACCCTCCCCTAGGGCCTTCAGCCTGCAGGGGCAGAAATCAGAAAGCTGAGGAAGCTGGCCTGGGAAAAAGAGCTTTGTGACTCCCAGCCCCTCCCACCCAGAGTGGCAGCTGGGCTCTCCTGCTGGCTGTGCCCCAAGCCCGTATGACCTTGGACAAGTCACTGCCCACTTTGTGCAATGAGTTGGGACCTTGGGGGTCTCTCGTAGCGTCGGCGGTCTGAGAGTCTATGAAATGTCACCCCTAGGTCTGACAGGATAGAGGGAATGGAAGAACTGGGGTACGACGGATAAAACACAGTGTTAGGAGTCAAGAGGCCTCAGTTCAAACCCCAGGGGTGCCTCATCCGAGGCCCACGGGGCCACTCTCTGGAAATTGGAGGGCCAGACTAAGTGACCTCTCCCCAAGACCCTCTGAGCGTCCCCTCCTCCGCACCCCCTGCCCCTCTGGTCTGGCCTCACCTCTCTTCCCCGCCAAGCCGCTCTCTCTGCAGGGTGGAGCTGGGACCCCATGTCCGGCCCTTCTTCTTCCCGGCGACGAGTTCTTCCTTCTTCAGGGCCCCACTGCGGCCGCTGGTGTTCTCCATAGGTGTCACTGGGCCGGTGAAGCCCCACCCCCCAATCCCCAAGAGGAAAGTGAGCAGGGCGGGCAGAGGAGCAACCAGGCCCTAGAGGCTGGATTTGCCCCTTCGATGGCACTGTCTCTTTCCCTTCCCCCCCCCCCCCACCGAGTGCAGAAGCACTGTGTGGATGGCACTCACAGCGGATGGCCCGGAGCCGAGGAATGATGCTGGGGCTGGCGGGGGGGCTGACTCCTTCAGGTCCCAGCCCTTTCCGCTTGTCCAAAGTCGTTGGAGAGGCTTGGACGGTGATCTTGTGCTCAAAGCCTGGGACGGGGGAAGGCTTTAGTACCATCTCCCTGGCCCACAGCCCCAGCCGGCTGCCCCAGCTCCAAGTCACTCCACGTCACAGGCTCTGAGTTGTAAGAGCCCTCAGCTGCCCATTAGTCTGACCCATAGCCCCAGACGATTCCACGTTACCACGTACGGGACAAACAGGGCTGCAGACTGCCAGCGGGGGTGCAGGGGACTACTCACACAGTGGCCTAGTCCATGAGGGGACAGCTGTTGTGCTTAGGATGCTCTTGGACATCAAGCCTACACAGCTACGGCCCAGTCAGGACGCACAGTGAATTCCCTCAACATCTACACTATCCACATTCCCGCTGCATCTTTCCATTGGGCTATAAACGATGACCGTATTTTACAGAATGATAACTTCGTGCAGTGAGAATCTGAACGCACTCGACGCTTTACCGGTGTCATCATTCTCAGTAATGGCCTTAGCGCTGTCTACCCCTAACCCACTTCCACCCGGCCTCCTGGCTCTGCCCTCTGGGCAGGACAAACAAGCCTGATCCCTCCTTTCTAGGACAACCCTTCAGACTGCGTGAAGACGCCCGTAGGGTTGCACCCTTGCCACATCTTTCCAGGCTAAACCTCGACTGCCTATGGAGAGGGAAAGAGGGTCTGCAGGCCTTCCCTTGGGTCACCACTGAAAGGGGGAGGTCATGGGTGACCCAGGAAGATCTTTGATGGGGGGGGGCTAGGATGGTGATCCCAAGGATCCAGGGTGGGGGGTCACAATGCCTGGGACCCAGTTCCAGCTAGGCCCAGGGCTCCTAGAGTGAACTTGGGGAGTCAGGGCCTGCTCTTCAGGGCTGTCTCAGGATCAGAAAAATGAGGGGCCTAGACACAAGGGGCTCTACCATCCCCAGCTCTCACGTTGCATGTTCTAAGGCAGAGGATTCAAACACAGAGAGAGCCAAAGGGCCCCAGAACCAGATCAAAGTGGAATTGGGAAATATTTAACAAAATAAATAAAAATATGATAGAACATAGATAATCTTAACATGTTGTGTTCTAAGTTAATGTGTGGACTGCAGGGATCCCTAGGTATGGTTTACTACGTTGAGTTTGACAGGCAGGTCAAAGATCCCTCCCAGCCCTGACATTCCCTGTTCTAAGAGACTTCCCAGCTCTGACCTTCTCTGTTCTAAGGCCCCTCCCAGCCCTGACATCCCCTGTTCTAGGGCCCCTCCCGGCCCTGACATCCCCTGTTCTAGGGCCCCTCCCGGCCCTGACATCCCCTGTTCTAGGGCCCCTCCCGGCCCTGACATCCCCTGTTCTA